AAATAGTACTAGACGGAGGGTACGCACCTTCCCTCTAGAACAATTACGGTCATTAAGGCCTCTAACTCGGGCATACGCCCGGAGCGGAGGGTTCGTCGCTGAAACGCTTGCTGATCATGATGGTCTCATGCCTTTAACAGGCCCACCCAGGAACGCCATAAAAACGTCTATGTAACATTCGCCCAAATACTACACAGCGACGGAGCGTAGAAAAAGTACCTATTAACGACTGGCAGGCGTCAGTTACCTTATTCTTACTCGTTTTTCACCGTCTCGACCTTGCCAGTTGATTTTCTGGTCTGTTTAGGGCTAAGTAAAAAGTTACTATTTTTAGGCCATCAGTCAAACGACTTTTGATCAGCTTTCGTTTACATGTGAACGCAACCACATAGCTGAGTCTCGGATCCTCAGACTACGTGATTTCTATTAAAAACACGGCTCGAATACCCTATTTTTATATGTTTTTGTGTGACAGTTCTATATTAAATCCATTGGAGATGGATTGACCCTTTCCTCTTCCTAGCTACTCATATTCTAAAATATCAAATTATACCGGTGTTAATTCGAAGTTTCACGACATCCAAGTAGCTACAAAGTCAGTTCTATATAGTCCCTTCACATACAACAGTCTCTGGGGGACCAAGCCTCCGCTCCCGTAATCTTCCCGAGATAACGTTCTTATCTCTTCCAATTTGTGGCACGGGAGGGTTCCGTGGAATATTCCTTCCCCACTGAAGCTTCCTTCTCCACTAATATCCACTGCTAAGGATCTTATCGTGTGTTATTGCCACGATAAGAGACTCCGTTTTTTTCGTGTTCCCGCACGACCATTTCTCACTATATTTGTTGTTGTTCTGTTTTTTTTGTCCTTTTTAGTCAAAATGGCCGTCTTTTTTGTATTTCTGAGAAATATTCACTCTTCGATCGAAATTTTAAAAATAAAAATTCTAGAAAATTCCTACCCTCCTTCGCAATACTTTTTCGTTACAGAGGCCTTTATTCGTTTCTTTCTGTCCCGCCGGAAGTTCGCGCAAAATGGTAGACTGCGTTAGGTTTTTTGATTGATCGTAGGTTTATCAGCATGAGATTTGTTTGTTCTAGTCAAGCAATTGCCTTATATTCTTGGTTGTCTACGTAAAGTTTGCCATGTCTGATTTTGCTGTTTGATTTGATTACCTGGCCACTCTTCACAAGGTCGTACCTTAGTTTCAGGACTTTCTTCTCAGCAGCAAGCTCTTCTGGTGATGGTTTTTTGGATACATAGGCATCAAACTGGGATTCTTTGAGTCGGTGAAAAATTACAACAAGAAATTACAACAAGGCAAAGTTCGGTAGTAATTTGGGCTTTAAATCGGCCCAAAAATTGCAACAAGGCAAATTTCGGTAGTAATTCGGAATTTAACTTTTTTTTAATTTTGTTGTTATAAGATAACTCAGGATGGTTTTTGTCTCAGATTATTTATTACAATTTAATTCTTTCAGTTTGATTTGAAAAAATCATGATTTTTCGAAAAATTTCCTTATTAAAACGTCGATTTTAACATGTGATAGGAATTTACAAAAATTGCCAACATTGAGATGTATTTTCTGAATTATCTCTAGGTTATGTCTGGGTTATCTCAAAAATGAGAGTTTTTTTGTTATTAAAACTCAAATATGATTTTTAAAATCAAATCTTAAAAAAGTGGACTGTTCTTTGAATTCAGCAACTTTTCAAAAAGAAAGTTCAAAAGAGATGAGAAACTGTTTTGAAGTCGTTTTCTGTCATGTGTGATAGACGTTTTTTGTCCTGTATGTAGACTTTTTTTGTCCTGCGTGTAGACTTTTTTTCCTGTGTGCAGACGTTTTTTTGTAGACGTTTTTTTATACTCCAATCCGAATTTCAGTTGTAATTAGTTGATGATGCTAGTTAGAGCGAAAACGTTCGACTTCGAATTAAATTGTATTGACTTATAACTATTTTGAACACTTTCACGTTAAACTCCATAGATGTTTGACTGGCTGAAATGACAAAGGGCTAGTGAAGTAACTTCGGTAACCGTGATAACTTTTAACCTTCTGATTTAAATTAAAAGAAAAGAAGCAAAAAATTGTTTTTACGTTTTACTGTCTTTTCCCTAATTCATGAAAATTTAAGGGTTTATTGTCCGCGTGAGTTGAGGACGAGTGTTGTGACATCGGGCACTTTGATGAAATAGTACCCGAACGATACCAAAATTGTTTCAACGATACCCAACAGTCGTTGTGGATGTTGTCCCTGATGTCCCTGTTGAGTGTGGAACACGTCGGTCAGCTTGCCACTCTACCCTCCGGCCACCGGCAAAATCACCATTAACGTGCTTAAATACTCAAATTACACTCAAGGGAGGGTATCCAACCCTTCACCAAAACACACAATCTAACTATCAGAAATGATATAAATCAATCTGAAACAACAAAAAATAGGAAAATCAGATCACATCTTGTCCGGAAATAACATATAAACTGTCACTTTGTGTTTTATACTGTTTTTGGTCTTTTTTGGATATTTTTTACTGTTTTTTGTATTTTTTGTTTTCAAATAAATTTATTTTTTGGTTTTTTGTTGGTTATGCACTTTTTTTGTTTGGTTTTACGCTTTCTCTTTAATTGTTTTTGGTCCCGGGACCTTGGGACAAGCGGGCTCATGACTTCCCACCTAACCCTCCGGCCCCCGGAATTTTCGGTGTTAACTAAGTTAAAAAGCTAAATAGTACTAGACGGAGGGTACGCACCTTCCCTCTAGTACAATAACGGTCATTAAGGCCTCTAACTCGGGCATACGCCCGGAGCGGAGGGTTCGTCGCTGAAACGCTTGCTGATCATGATGGTCTCATGCCTTTAACAGGCCCACCCAGGAACGCCATAAAAACGTCTATGTAACATTCGCCCAAATACTACACAGCGACGGAGCGTAGAAAAAGTACCTATTAACGACTGGCAGGCGTCAGTTACCTTATTCTTACTCGTTTTTCACCGTCTCGACCTTGCCAGTTGATTTTCTGGTCTGTTTAGGGCTAAGTAAAAAGTTACTATTTTTAGGCCATCAGTCAAACGACTTTTGATCAGCTTTCGTTTACATGTGAACACAACCACATAGCTGAGTCTCGGATCCTCAGACTACGTGATTTCTATTAAAAACACGGCTCGAATACCTATTTTTATATGTTTTTGTGTGACAGTTCTATATTAAATCCATTGGAGATGGATTGACCCTTTCCTCTTCCTAGCTACTCATATTCTAAAATATCAAATTATACCGGTGTTAATTCAAAGTTTCACGACATCCAAGTAGCTACAAAGTCAGTTCTATATAGTCCCTTCACATGAAACAGTCTCTGGGGGACCAAGCCTCCGCTCCCGTAATCTTCCCGAGATAACGTTCTTATCTCTTCCAATTTGTGGCACGGGAGGTTTCCGTGGAATATTCCTTCCCCACTGAAGCTTCCTTCTCCACTAATATCCACTGCTAAGGATCTTATCGTGTGTTATTGCCACGATAAGAGACTCCGTTTTTTTCGTGTTCCCGCACGACCATTTCTCACTATATTTGTTGTTGTTCTGTTTTTTTTTGTCCTTTTTAGTTAAAATGGCCGTCTTTTTTGTATTTCTGAGAAATATTCACTCTTCGATCGAAATTTTAAAAATAAAAATTCTAGAAAATTCCTACCCTCCTTCGCAATACTTTTTCGTTACAGAGGCCTTTATTCGTTTCTTTCTGTCCCGCCGGAAGTTCGCGCAAAATGGTAGACTGCGTTAGGTTTTTTGATTGATCGTAGGTTTATCAGCATGAGATTTGTTTGTTCTAGTCAAGCAATTGCCTTATATTCTTGGTTGTCTACGTAAAGTTTGCCATGTCTGATTTTGCTGTTTGATTTGATTACCTGGCCACTCTTCACAAGGTCGTACCTTAGTTTCAGGACTTTCTTCTCAGCAGCAAGCTCTTCTGGTGATGGTTTTTTGGATACATAGGCATCAAACTGGGATTCTTTGAGTCGGTGAAAAATTACAACAAGAAATTACAACAAGGCAAAGTTCGGTAGTAATTTGGGCTTTAAATCGGCCCAAAAATTGCAACAAGGCAAATTTCGGTAGTAATTCGGAATTTAACTTTTTTTTTAATTTTGTTGTTATAAGATAACTCAGGATGGTTTTTGTCTCAGATTATTTATTACAATTTAATTCTTTCAGTTTGATTTGAAAAAATCATGATTTTTCGAAAAATTTCCTTATTAAAACGTCGATTTTAACATGTGATAGGAATTTACAAAAATTGCCAACATTGAGATGTATTTTCTGAATTATCTCTAGGTTATGTCTGGGTTATCTCAAAAATGAGAGTTTTTTTGTTATTAAAACTCAAATATGATTTTTAAAATCAAATCTTAAAAAAGTGGACTGTTCTTTGAAGTCAGCAACTTTTCAAAAAGAAAGTTCAAAAGAGATGAGAAACTGTTTTGAAGTCGTTTTCTGTCATGTGTGATAGACGTTTTTTGTCCTGTATGTAGACTTTTTTTGTCCTGCGTGTAGACTTTTTTTCCTGTGTGCAGACGTTTTTTTGTAGACGTTTTTTTATACTCCACTCCGAATTTCAGTTGTAATTAGTTGATGATGCTAGTTAGAGCGAAAACGTTCGACTTCGAATTAAATTGTATTGACTTATAACTATTTTGAACACTTTCACGTTAAACTCCATAGATGTTTGACTGGCTGAAATGACAAAGGGCTAGTGAAGTAACTTCGGTAACCGTGATAACTTTTGACCTTCTGATTTAAATTAAAAGAAAAGAAGCAAAAAATTGTTTTTACGTTTTACTGTCTTTTTCCCTAATTCATGAAAATTTAAGGGTTTATTGTCCGCGTGAGTTGAGGACGAGTGTTGTAACATCGGGCACCATGATAGTTTTTGACCTTCTGATTCAGATATATTTCTTAAATTTATATTGCAAATGTATCAAAAGTTGCCAATTCATTTTCTTTCAATTGCTTTGATTTTCCTTGTTGCGTTACTTTGTCTAATATACAAGGTTGAAATCGAGTCACAGCGGGTAAACTCCAAGCTCCTGAATTTTGAATCTCTTAGTCACAGATTGAATCTTCTGGCGAACCTAAGGTAAAACCCATATAATTGATTTGGTGCTTTGATTCAAAATGGTGTTTTGATTTCAGACGCTATGAAATAGAACCATCGACAATATATATTGACTTGATGTTAATGGGAGATGGCTTCAAGTTAAAACCAGATTACATCAACTTCGAGATTTGATGGACGTCTGTTTGCTAATTTGCTTTAAACTTCGAGGCTACCATAAGCATGTTTCAAACTCTCAACTAGCCAAAGTGTTGTTCGTATTTACTTATGAAGTTGTTCAGATGCGTCGCTAATTTTACTTTGTTTTGACTTTCGTAAGAATTGACTGGAATATTTGAATTATGTTGGTTTAGTTGGTTAGATGAGCTTCTTCAGTTGAAGTTTAGAGACAAAATGAAATCGGCGGAAACTGATCGAAATTGGGCCAGTAGAATGAAAATGCTGACAATTTAATATTACATGCCAATGTTAGTTAAAAAGTATCAGGTCTTATATTTTCCGAGACGACCTCCCTAGCATAACCAATTTGGGTTATTTGTCATCATTTTATTTTTTGTGTTTATCTTGTATTCAAACATCCGGTTGTCTGTTAGTGGAATATCTCGGTGGATCAAGATTTTGCGAGGACGGCGCAGGTTTCAGGTATCTCGTGCGACACCCTTCCCAAAAAATTTCACTCAAAATTTTGCCTTTTATTGGATTATTTTTTGATTCGGATTGCTGTGAGGGTCTCGATTGATTCAGTAGCTGGAACTTAAATGGCCAATCTAACAGGATCCATAATAGACTCGCATGGTCCTGAACCTGAGACTGGGTTAAGTCAAGACCCGAACTCTCCCCAAAGTGTCATTTGCAATCTTAAACCCGGGAAATTCAATTGTCACCCGATTAGTGTGGAGTCGTGTTCGGAAATTCGAGCTGAATCTACTGGCGACGATGAAGATAGTTTCGTTTGTGTCGGATATCGGAAGTCAGTTTGGAAATCGTTTTTGTTCATCCTGATGTCTTTTGCGTCGTGTGGTTTGCTCCTGCTGTTCTGTTATTGGAAACCCGCTTTTAGGTAAGCTTGACTTGCCTGGAGTGGTTAAATCCGGCTCAAATGTATAGAACTAAAATGCGTTGAAGTTATTCACATACAGAAGTAATTAAGACTGCTTCGGCGGATCTGGACGGGTTAATGCTTCTAGTTCTTTATGTACCCAACGTTGAAGTTATGATAATTTTGGGATATTGTTTTCTAAAGGTTACGCCGCATGGAATCATAGGTAAAAATATTTGACAATGAAATGTCTTACACAGAGGGCTTAATTCTTGAATGAGTTTTCATTTTTAAATCGCAGGTGCAAGCTCCGATTCAAAAAATGCTCCTTGGCCTGTGCTGATTTGGTGCTGATCAAACCAGATGGAATTGACGATTGCAGCGTAGTTTTAATTGAAAAGTGTTTCATCGCATCACAAGATCTGCCCAAACTCACCAGCAGTGCTCGTCTGAACAGCAATGAACACAGTCCGTACCAAAATGGAGCAGCCAGTGGGGTTCGAAACCAGAATGAAGTTGGCTCTTCCGAAGACATGGCTCACATTGCCTGCGATGATTCTGCTCCATTGTTAGATTCTGCATGTGTAAACAACGGTCCGAGACCTCCTGCAAACATTTATGACTCTGCAAAAGAACTAAGTGCTATTAGACGAGGATCGGCGACTATGAAAGATCTTTTGGATGGATCCATTGTTTTGACGTTTATGCTGAAGAACGTGAGGTTGGTAGCGTTTAGGTGATCCTCCATATACTAAGAGCTAGAGCATCAAATTTTATAAATGTAACTTTCTGTATCTAAATGCAAAGGAAATGCAAAGGTATTTTTTTATCAGCGAGTCAAAATCTTCGTGAATTGATGCGGCTCTCAGAAATAGACTACAAATTATAGCCAAATTACACAAATCCTGTTGTTTTTTGTTACTAGGCTGGGTACTTATTAGGAAAGAGCCAATTTCAAATATATTCGATGTATTTGATAATCTGCTTTTGTCCCTAAAGTTTTGGTTAACGAGTAAACCTGATTTTCAACGTTTTACTGACAGATGCATCTGCTGATTGTAAGTGAATGGAGTTTTCTGAATAGAGAGCTTCCAAATTGAATGAAATGTTTGGCAGGTATGTGTGGTATCCCAATGTGCAGTTAGACCTAGGAGGTCACATGGTCTCCTGTGTCTGTGGAGTGGTGGCTCTGGAGACTTTCGACAGTCTGCTGACGTTGAGAGATGTTGTGAACACTACCCACAGAGTGACACATGTCGGCCAATACGACAACGCATCCAGTTAGTTTAAATGAGCATCTTATTGTACGAGTTGTGTTTGGTAAGTTTGAAAACTTAGTGAAAAAAAGTTGAGACCCGAAAATTTTTTGAACTTTTTCACTAAGTTTGAGTCAAACTTTTTGTAATCTCGATTCTTGATCGGTAGTTATATTAAACTAATGAATTTTTTTAACGCTGCACTCACAAATCACACTCTTTTCCAAAATTTAGTAGTCTGTGTACGGCACGGTTGTTCCATGAGAGGTGTGACATGGAGAAATTCTGTGAAATGTTTTTTTTTTGTAAATGTGTGGATTGTTTCAGGGGCGGCGTTTGACAAGCGGGACAACCGACTGCTGCTGTTTGGGAACAACTGCATGGACATCCCCATCAAGTCCTACTACAGACTTCTTATTGAGGAAGTTTTCAATCCATTCTACGTGTTCCAAGTAGGTTAGTCCGTTAACTCCCGTTATACAGCTCTCATTTCCTGTTTCCCGCTCGTCTGGTTCGCTCAAATAGGTCACGGAAGGTAAATTTAAAGCTTTTGGTTCTCATTTTTCCGACAACACAAAAATTATTTTTTTTTGGGTGTCAATATAGTTCAAAGTTAAGTTTTCTGTTTAATTTGCTCTTAAATTCGGCTAAAATGAGTTTTTTTACCCTTAAATGACGCGTTAATTTCTACGCACCCTTTTGTGTGTTATAGTGAGCATTGTGCTGTGGTGCCTGGAAAATTACTACTATTATGCGTCCTGCATATTCGTCATCTCCCTAGCCGGAATCATCATGGAGGTCTCATTTTCATTACTTCAGACATTTCCAGTCTGTCAACACTACTCAACCCAGAACAGAAAATATAAATTGTAGCGGGAAATTTGAGCGCATTGGCGACGAATGTATTTGCAGTGTTTTAAGAACTGATAATTTTAAGCGAATACTAGCGTTTCCTGGTGTTTGTTAGTTAGTTAGTTAAGCGAGTCCACCCTGTCCAATCCAGAGCTCTTGGGCCCAACTGTTATTAAGCGTTTTGAATAGCTGCGCATGAGGGACAACGTTGAAGCGTGTTTCTATGTCGGCAGTGTTTGACGCCAGCTGCACCTCGCATGAAGCTCCTAGTTGGGTATGGAGGGCTCGTGGCCGGTAGACTTCGCCGTCCGAAGACGTTGATCCCCCACACCACGGAGAGGTGTCTACCACGTGGGGGGTTTCCTGGTGTGTTTTAAAAGTTAATTGATTCTGGTGTTCTTGTAGGTGCGTGAGATCAGAAGACAGTTACTGACCCTGAAAGAAATGTCAACACTGAGTGGCAGAGTCAATCTGGTGCTCCCCTTTGAAGGCGGCGGCTCAGACGACACTCCTTGTGAGAACACTGTAGTTGGAAATGAGGCCAAGAGAAGTGAGTGTAGCGTAATTATTTCATTTCAAACCATTCAATTTTGTTGAAGGTAAGAATTTCGCTCAGGTGGATCTGTGCATTTATTCTTCAAATTTAGTTTTCAAATCATTACCAGATCCTCATCAAATCGTAGTACCAAATGATTTCAACTGGTTGCTGGGTGTGTTGTGTATTATGATTAACTTAGTTCTTGGGGTGTTTTCAGCTGATGATCACAAAGATGCGCTCCCAGTTAGGAGTCACAATTTCAATCTGAAGGAAGTGTCCTTTGATGACTTAGTGCCAGGGGACTTGATTGAAGTTTCCACACACTTCTCCCACAAGATGCCAGTGGACTGTATGTTGGTGGCTGGAACTGTGATTGTGAACGAAAGCAGCCTCACCGGTTAGTGAACCCCAGTCATCGTATTCTTGGAAGTCTAACCGACTTATATATTTTGAGCTGCTAAGTGTTTCATGGTCAACTCGTCGAAATGGAAAAATATTCTCATTGCATAATAATTTGTGTTTGAGTTGTAATTCGAATAACGATCACATGATATCATATGTAACTCAAGATGGCACATGAGATGATGTAGCGAATTGGATTTCGGTTGGACTGCGATTTGGCTAATGCAAACTAGATGTGTTGGTTTTGGAGACATTTTTCTCGAAAATTGTCTGAAAGACATTAAAATGTTTTTATGCACGTCTGGTTTATTGCTCGTAGCTTTGATATGATAATAACTCTTCTACGCTTCAATAATAGGCGAAAGTGTGCCGGTGAACAAAACTCCTCTGCGAGCCTCGGGTCAGAACAACGAGGGAGTCGACTTCGCCACCCAGGCCAAACACCTTCTGTTCGCTGGCACTGATCTGGTCAGGGTCAACAAAGGAGTGGAGGGGGAGGTAGTGATGGCATATGTGTTGCGCACTGGCTTCATGACTGTGAGGGGCCAGATGATAAGGACTATGCTCCATCCCAAGCCCATGGACTCACAATTCTATAAGGTTTTCAATAGTTACGAGAAAAGATAGACGCTGCATAATTACTACCGAAGTTTTCAACCACAATCATAATTGAAACAAATAATGCGACTGATTTTGAATTGTCAATGAACAAGCGAAGACATTTTTAAGGTCTTGTTGTACTGTTCTGACCATTGAAAACGGGGAGGAGTTTTGAATTCGGTTGTGTTTAAACTGATTTGTTTTACAAGTACCAAAAATAATTATCCGAATGGGTCCAGATATATACCATATTAAAGCCCTTTCAGTCGTGATTCGAGCGACATAAAAAAAACTTTCCCAGAAAAACCGGTTTGAAATGTTTGATTTTTTGACCAATGTCGATTGATTAGTGCGATCGAGTAATGTTCGTTATAAAACTTAGTCATTTAGCTTCCTTACAGAACAAATTTTAGAATTTTGTTGAAGTTTCAATTTTTTGTTTATCTTTTTGAGACAACTGTTGTCGATTCACTAAATTTCTAAGATTGTGTATAATTTTCTCATCATTCCACGCTCAAGAATTTGAAGAATTTTTGTTGTTTTCTTTGTGGTCGGAACATTCTCTGCTGCTTGCACAGCAACCGGCTACCCTTGTTTCTTTTTCATTTTTGTTTTAGAAACAAAAACCAAAAGTTGGTCACGATTTAATTTGCTTTTTTCCTGATTGACTTTTGATTTCACTCGGAAATGACGCAAAAAATTATTGACTTTGCTTCAAAAACAATTTTAAATTTTCCAGGAGTTAAAAAATAACATTTTAATCTAGTTTTTTTTCGAGTAAGGTTAGCTTTATTACACACGCGAGCATTGTGTTATAATACTAGTTCTTTGTTAGAGTCTATAACCGTGGTGAAAAGTCTTACATAGGTCGTATTGATTTTTTTGTTTGCTATTTCTTCAGGTAAAAGTTTTGAAGTTTGAATGTTGATTTCTCTTCAAGCTCAAGTTTCTTCCTGATTAAAAAAATAGGCAACTATCCAAAACAACGTTGTAAAGGCCACCAAAAACGTGATCGATTTCTAGTTTCAGAAGTGGAAAATAGTTTAAAGATTTGCCAGCGGACTAATTGTTTTATCTATTGATCCAATTGTCTGAAGCTGATTTTATTTTACCTTTTGATTCAGTTTTCTCAAGTATCAAAAGTTTTCAATTATAAATGTTTCCCGAAAAATATTTAGTCGGAAAGTATAGTTTTCAAAGCGCTTTAAAATGATATTGTTTTCTATAAAACTATTTTCTCTGAAATTGCTACACAAAGAGTCAACAAAAGGATTTTGCGATTTTTGGTCTCTTTGAGTTCATTGACACTTCCAAATTTATTAATGTTTTTAGACTAGAAAACGCTTGTTATATTACGAGTTTATGTTAAAAGCTAGTCGCATAACTTTGTACGCAACAAATTGCTAGGATTTTTGCTGCATATCTTTTTATGATTGACATTTTAACGGCATATGTTCTATCCGGTTAATTGAGGGCGTATATTTTAATCCTGTAGAATTCATTTTTTGTTTTTCAAAGCTTACTGTTTTCACTACCCCTTAAGCATGGGAACGAATTACGGCATAATGTTTTTTTTTTCAGTCGATTTTGATTGCCTAAAAGAAAGCTTGTAATGTGCCTAGAAGAAAGCGATTGTTATGTTTACGATCACGTTATGCCCTGCACCAAAATTTCTTTCGAGACCCGACAAGTATCAAGAAACGCGTTCCATATCACAAAGCTTAAAAAACTAAAGAACAACTTCTGGTATCGAGTACCTTTTCTGGTAAACAATTTGTCAGCTTGTCTTGGATTCGACCTGATAACGATGGATTACAAAAGTTTGAAAGAAAAACTGACTGAAATTTACTGGAAGTTCTTTTATGAAAAATTTACTGAGAGCGATTTTTGTACTTGGTGAATCAACTGTGCTTGTAAATTCTGCTTAAACTCAAAAACTTTGACATCAGCTAAAAATGTTAAAACTGGGAACTTGATTTAGCCCTTGGATCTTATTCCTATATTCTGTATTATTATTACTATTATTATTATTATTATTATTATAATGTGTTTTATATGGTATCATAATAAAGCTCAATTAGTCATAAATGAGTTGTTAAAAAATCAGAAAAATTCAGTCGGGAAAAAAATTCTGAATGTCTCCGTTTTTGTTAGACTAAATAAGACAGAAGATTTTGACTGGAGGCTGGTCTCCTTCTTGACTTCATTAAGAATTTCAACTGTATTATAGCTTTTAAGTACCCAGCTATTTCTTCAACAACTTCAATCATTCTTAAAAATTAATAAAGGAACATTTGATTTTCCTTCTTTTTTCTTCTTTTTAAAAATTAAATTGTCTATTTTGATTTTTTTTAAAAATCTGTGTGATCGTTTCTGTACAACTTAACCGCAACCGGATATCTTTGTATAATTTGTTAATTGCTTGCATTTTAGAGTTCCCCTTTGTCATTTTTTGCTTGTGGAAATTGCAGCTTCGACACTGCGTATTTTTCGATATTTAAAAGAAAATTATATGCTGTGGGTTGGATAGGTTTAACTTCAGTGATCAGTAGCTGAAATTGTGAAAATATTTATGTTGTAGTCATAATTTTTAGAGAAAAGATGGTTCCGCTCTTTTTTACTGTAGTTTGTGTATAAAGCAAAAATTTTCATTTTTTTTAGAATGGCGTTTTTTAGTATATCGGGCGGTGACAAGTAATTTTTCCGGTGTTTATTGTTTTTCGAACGAGATATTTTCATAAGATGATTTTTGCAATTTGTGAAGTTTCTCCGTGATGCTGTGTTAAGTACTGTGTGTCTGTTGTGATGTGTAGGATGCGTTTCGCTTCGTGGCCCTTCTGAGTGTGTTGGCCATAGGGGGCACAGCCTACTCCATCTATGACCTACTGCAGGCAGGGGACACTGTGTTCGATGCAGTCACCACTGGCCTGGACATCATCACCATCCTCGTGCCACCAGCACTACCCAGTGCACTGGCCATAGGCATACACTACGCCATCGCCAGGTAGCCAGCCAGTCACTGGCCCACTCCACGCCACACTGCACTACTGTGTACTACATAGCAAAAACCGCTTTTTTATTTCTGAAAAATCACCCAAAAGAAACAACCCAGTGAGATTTTGGCCATCTCTGTCACTGCATGATTGGGAAAAAGCGGCCTAGGAAAACTGCATTAGTGCATGTTCAAGTTAAATGACGCCAAAGGCCATCCTAGCATTAATAGTTGCTAGTTATTGTCACTAACGCAGAGATCAATGAGGTTTATAACAACAGCCTTGTAAGAAAGAGCAGGATTCTCGGTGTGCAATAATTGAACTGGCTTGTTTATGAGTTTTTGAGTTGTTTATATATTGGTTGGTTTGTCTCTAGACTGAAGAAGCGTGGTATCTTCTGCATCAGTCCGCAGAGAGTAAATTTGGCTGGTCAGGTGGACACTTTCTGCTTCGACAAGACAGGCACGCTCACGGAGGAGGGACTGGACATATATGGACTGCTGGCAGTAAAAAGCACATTCGCCAAAATCGACAAAAGCTCAGTCGATCAATCAAAACTAGAAGCAGAACTACAGCAACAGGTGTGCTAATTAAGAGTAATGAGTGTAAGGAGTACTCTTATATAGTTATTGGTGTTTTTTTTTCCTTTTTTTCAGGAAAAGTATTGAAATTTGTTCACGCTCAATTTTGATTTATGGCGGCTTAACTTTTGATTCCTTTTTCAGTTCACTTCATTTCTATTGTTAAAAGGAAGGCAAACTCCACTATCAAACAGCCAAAGTCGCAAAAAAACGTGATCGACTATTAGTTTCGAAAGTTGATTTTAATGTTCAAATTTCCCAGAAGAATTAAAATTTTACCTATTGATCCAGTTTTTCAATGCTTCAATTTTATCAAAAAAGCACCAATCATAAATTTTTCTTGAAATTCAAGGCTTTGAAATTATCGCTAACAAATTGCATCTATGTGGATTCTCTCAGTTACTCAATGAAAACATTTCAACTGTCTGAAATTGTTTCAAACCATCTCAAGCCCGCTTTTGATTCAATAAACGGTTTAAAGTTATTAGTTCGTGGTTATTTAATCAAATGCTTTAGGGAGAATTGGGGAAACACAACTTAGCAGTGTTCCAGGGTCTGGCAGAGCGTCCGGGATCTACTTTTCAAATTGATGATCCTATTTCCGGTGAGTTGCATCTTGTCGATCTTTTAAAATGTGCAAGTGCAATTGTCAAAATCAGAACATCAAGCGAATATAAAATTTGTGAAGTTAAATATAGTTCAGAGAGTATAACCGGATAGGAAGTTTATGATAAGCAAAAGTATCAATCAATAATTGAAGCAAGAATAGCCAGTTGCTCAGCATATTGAACAGAACGATCCACTCACCGTTATATTCGCAGATTTTAAGTTTATGATTGTGTTTTTTTTGTTTAGTTGCCATGGCAACCTGTCATTCTCTGGTGGTTGTGGAGGGGGAAGTTTGTGGGGATCCGATCGAGGTCAAGATGTTCGAGGCCATAGAGTGGCACATACCAGACAGCTCTCTCGACCAGGTCCTTCCTCCTTACACATTCTACTGTCACACCAGAAAACACATTTGATCACGTGTTTACTTTTTATTTCGTTTCTCCGACCATTGCTAAGGGAGAGGGGATTGGGCGGGGAACGCAAAATCAGATAACGCAAAGAAAATTTTTTGATTGTAGCATCATATTTGTACTTGCGAAGCAAAGTGTTATAGTACGAACTGTCTGTTTTTTCCAACCTAAGTTGCAAATTTTGTTGCGACTTAAAAGAACAATATTTGCTGCATCGAATTGGCATGTTATCAACGGTACTTTCATCATTTCTCTTTTTTACACTAGCAAGCTTGTGAGCGTAGTGTATTAATACGAACCTTCTTTTTTTCCCAACCTAGCTCGCAAATAAAAGTTCTCATTTGGTGGCAAGCTTGCTACAATCACGATCTGTAGCATTGAAAATTTCATAGCATCTGTTCTCTGCTTTTATTGTGGCTAGTGTTTGTTAATTGTAAAGGGGCTAAGCGGTTAGTTCGCAGTATCGAATGCGTGCGGTCGAATTTTTAAAACTAATTTGAGGCTTATTTCTTTTTCTTATTTCACTTGTTAGAGCTGCTTTTCTTCTGATGTTCTTTAAACTGTTCACGATACATCGTCTGAAAATTGTCAAATAAATTTGACCTTGAAGAAATAGATAATGTCATAAAAACGATGACCTTGGGCAAACCAAGGTCGAAATACTCATTTTTATGATGATAATTATTGATCCCAAATAGTTGGCGCTATAGTTTCTAAGAAATTTATTGGACAAGTCCTAAAATTCTGAAATAGTTTTTAAGTTTAGGGGCACTTAGCATAGTGGTAAGGCGTTCACTTTAGAATCGTCAGATCGTGTAATCGATCCCATGCCATGGCAATGATAGTGTGCGAGGACGAGCTCTCACTTGACCTCTAGCTTCAGGTCTACCACAACCTGACCAAATTTGGCTGCAAAAGTGGTACCACGTGAAAGTTCTCGACGCACAAAAACGGCCTTGAGTCGCAAAAAAGAGCTTCGCTCAACAAAATAACACAGTCTGGAATGTGGGGAAATGATACAAACGGACTATCCTCGACAGGACTGTTAAGGCCTACTGATAGCTCCTCTGCGATTCGCAGGAACTACAATTATTATTAAGTTGAGACTTTGAAAAAGTTGAAATTGCAACCGAATTTTCAAAATTGCATTTGAATTGTAAAAAGAACAAATCAAAAAAGTTGCCATTTTTCTGAGGTAATTTAATTTGAATAGATTTAAGCCCTTATCTTCAAAACAGTTCAGCAGCGATCTGAGATGCAAATTTTCAATAGAAGAGAACACTATAAGCGCTGCAAAAAAGCAAACGCGAAACTTCAAAGAACTATTTCAAAGAACTAATTTGTTTCAGCTTGAAGGTCAGAATTAGAAGTTGTCCGATAAATTTGTTGAAAGCTATATCGGTGACCTTGAACGAATTCATTGTTTATAGAGCGACGATTTCGGGTTAGTTCGATTTGACACGATTTTTTATGTGATCAAATGAGTTAAATAATTGTTTAGAACCTCAAAATGAGCAGTTTTGTTATAGTCAATGCCAAACTGGTGTCAATATCGGTAATTTTGAGCAATTTAATCGGCCAAAAACTATTGCATTTTTGGTAATTAGTTTATCGGACACGGTTTTAACGATTGGAAATCAGTGAAAAACAGTAATCAAATTGAGCAGTTTTAGGTTAATTAACTTCGTTTAGATTCGTTGACCGAAAAGATATTGTCAACAATTTTGCATTAACTATCGCTGATCTTAAGCTTTAAACAAATTAATCCGCACGTCTTAAATTTTTGAAAAAATCTGACCTTCAAGTTTAAGTTTAGTGGAAATAGTTCGTGTTTGCCTTTTCGCCGGCATTTTATGTGTTATTTTGTTCTGAAAAGTAGCATGTAAGTTTGCGGCTGAAGGAAGTTACGGACTTTAAGTTATAATTAGTAGCAAAAAGTTCGGACAGACAGAATTATTTAAAATGAGCAATCAGTGCTTTTCGACGCTTTTTTGCATGCAAAATCTGAAGCCGAACAACCTTGATTTTTTGTCTGACCAAATTCCAAATGCGAGATTGTCGGTTATCCGATGATTATGCTAGCCTAATTTATAAATACTGCGATGAACATCTAGATTTTACTATAAAACAGCTCGACGCTTCGGATGCAATTGCCCGCAGTGGTTATAGAATTTGAGCGAAACTCGGATCTACTTAACAATCTCACCCACCCCCCCCCCCCCTCCCTTCCCCTATTGTATTTACTAAATAATATCCACCCCTGCAAATAAAAACAGTAAATTCGCACTAGAGCATTGTATGTAAACTCGAATTTTGCTGAATTCTGATTGGTCGAAAGTTCGCTGCCAGTAATCTAATTAACAATCTCCTCCCCTTCTTGAAAGTGGGGATTGTTAAGTAGATCCCGTAACTCTGCTTTATGAACTTTCGATGTTATGTTTATTTCAGTTTCAGTTGATGTCTAGACAGTTGCTCTTTTTAATTATTTCTGTCTGTCCGAACTTTTTGCAACTCTCTATAGCAAAAAGTTCGGACAGACAGAGTTAATTAAAATGAGAAATCAGTGCTTTTCGACTCTTTTTTGCATGCAAAATCTGAAGCTGGACAACCTTGAACTTTTTGTCAGACCAAATTCGAAATGCAAAATCGTCGATAATCCGATGATTATGCTAGCCTACTTTTTAAATACTGCGATGAACATCCAGATTTACTATGAAATAGTTAGCAGAATTAGTTAAAAAATCGAAATCTTAGAATTATTTTCAACAAAAAAAAACAGATAAGGCCGCCCAAAAAACGGAAATATGAAGATGATCAAATCATTCAAAATTTGGATACTAGTCGTAGAAAAACATTGAGCAATAATTTTCGTGTTTCAAGGTTTACTGTTTGCCGCTTCGGATGCAATTGCCTACCGTGGTTATAAGTTTTGAGCGATACTCTGTTTATGAACTTTCGGCGTTATGTTTATTTCAGTTTTAATTTCCGTTGATGTCCCGAGAGTTACTCTTTTTAATTAATTCTGTTTGTCCGATTTTTTTGGAACTCTCTGTATAATAAAAAAAGACTTCTAAAAAGCGCAATTATTTTGGTTTGCTCTTTTGACAATTCAAGTGCAATTTAGAAAATTTGTTTGCAACTTCAATTCTATTTTACTGTCTCAAGGAGAGAATTATTTTACTGTCTCAAGGAGAGAATTTAAGACGTTTTCCGATAAATTTGTTAAAAGCTTCAAAAGGTTGTTGCTGTTAACTGCATTTTCAACGCAATTTCTAAGGCTCGAGGACATTATTATTATAAAAAATGGACCTTCGATGATTTTTTAGAAACTACAGCGCTGATTTGAATTATCTGAATAAACTTTTTTAAACGAGTTTTCCCCCGAGTTGGATTAAATATAAACAATAAAATATCAAGACAACAAATGCTGAAAAGTTGTCTAGAATTGAATTGGTGCAATTTTTGTGCAAAATTTGGATCGGATTCAGCTCGGATATTTAATCAATAATTTGAAAAACGAATATCACCATATTAATTCTGGTTCACTTTAGCATCTTTTGTCTTCACATTTGTCGAAATTTTTCCCCATCTTGAAAAAAAAACGTGTTTTGTTTGGTTAATTTAAATAAGCTCTGTTATTGTCTGCAGTTTTCAAAAGTTGTCGGAACGGATACACGTATTAGTGCAATAAAACAGGTCGATTTATAGTTAATGCCAAATTGATGGCAGTATCGGTAACTTTGAGATATTTCATCGGTCAATAACTTCATTTTAAGTTAATTAGTCTTTTGAACAAGGGTTTTACATGTGGAAATGAGTTAAAAACAGAAATCCGACTTCAAAATGAGCAGTTTTAGGTTATATTTAACTTCGTTCAGATTCGTTGACCAAGATTACATTGCCCACTATAAATGTAAAAGTAGGATGCGTGACGTCGAAAGTGCATAGATTTTGAACAAGACGACCGAGCTTGGAAAGGCCAACAAGGTTTTCGAACGACAAAAAGTAAGGCCGTTGATAGATTTATTAACTAGAAGAAACGCCGTGGTGTTTATTAACTTGAAGAAAAATTGAATACCATCCTACTTGGACCCTTCAAATGCGATACTAATCATGCTAATGATCCTACTATGATAGAGTGGTCCCTTGAGAATAAAACATCTAGAGCTCTCAAATCCTTTATTAATTATGATTTTGTCATTCAGAAAGATGTCGCAGTGGTCAAACAAATTTTATGTTTTGTTACTTCGTAAAATTCCACCCTCACCATTGTAAGGAGAATTCAAAAAGAAACGCCAAGATTGAGTTTTGATGAAAAATAAGGTAGCCCTATTACCCAATTATGTTTGCTAAACTGTTAAATAAACAGTAGCGAGCAAATTTCTTGATATAAACTGAAAAGTTTCTGACTGAACATATTTCGCAAGATTTTTGAAATGAATAAATTTTTATACACAAATTTGTTTTCAAAATTATAACGAAATGCATGCGGGACCTGTCTATCATAGTTGATTTTTCGAGGGACCACTATAATAGTAGGACCATGCTAATTATTAAGTAGACAATACCAAGGACTTATTTACGAATGTTCACTTAGTCTAAATTGATTGCAGGAACAAGGCTCTGTAGACTACAGTAACTATGGCCTGCTTCGTGTGCGACCTTGTCGCTCCCATTTGTCCTCTGACAATGCACCCACATTCGACAGTGGACTGAACCAGTTTGTACAGTATGAAGTGGCAGTGCTGCATGAGTTGCCCTTCTCGAGTCACGTGCAGCGAATGAGTGTAGTGGCCAAGAGAGTGGCATGTCCATGCAGTCACACACACAACATGGAGATATTCTGCAAAGGTCTCTTACTCTCTAATTCGTACCTACTATTTTGGTTTTGATAAATAGTCGTTGCATTTTTTGAAGCTGAAAATCGAAAAAAAATAACATGAAGATGTATACCAAAGGTTTTTATTTAGTTTTTCTTATTTCTTCTGGAATTTCGGTCATATTTTGTTGAAGGAGCCCCCGAAGTAGTTGCCAGTCTATGTGTACCGAGTTCGATCCCCGCCGACTTCTCTGAGAGGCTGCGCTTCTACACGAACCAGTAGGTGATCTCATCTTCCAAGGCATATACTTCCTAGCTTATGTTGATTCAGAGAATGGAGAATAATGCGATGATTATTCGACAATTTAGCCTAATGCAAATTGTCAAAATGCAAAGGGCCTTAAAAAGTAAATGGAACAATCAGTTCACCTGCCCTGGAAATAAAGGTTTTGCATTGTACATTGAGTGATGTTGATTTGCAATATGCTTTGAGGGGTTTCCGTGTTCTGGCACTGGCCACCAGAGACCTGGGAGCGAAGATGAAGTACCACAAGATGCTGAAGATGGAGCGAGGCAGTCTGGAGAGGGACCTGGAACTGCTGGGTCTACTTGTGCTACAGAACAAACTCAAGCCACAATCCACATCTGCCATAGAGACTCTAACCGACAATAACATCAGGAGCATCATGATCACAGGTTCGTGATATGTCCATCTCATTATGCTCTTACTGTTTGTGTTTGCAATGACTACATTCATTTTTATTACCCTTGCGATAAGCAAGGGTATTGAAATCGGGTACTACACTCTTTCCCCGTAAATAACTGTTCACAGGACTCATTCATCTCCTGGATGGACTCATTCACCACTGACATGCTCAGTTTTGTTGAAATTTGTTGAAATTCAACTTAAACTACTATCATTTATTACTAAAACTACTATCAAATAAAACTAAAATTAGTTAAAGCGTGTTTTAGGTTGTAAATATCTTTCCAAAGAAATTTTTTTTTCGGGTTTGTGGTTTTCGTTCTAGTTTGTCGTCTCGGTTTCCGTTTTTTTACGCATCCGATTAGCAAGCGATATCAAACTAGGGTATAGACTTTTTTTCGGGTTAACAACTTGTTTAACAGAATCACTTGAATCAATTAGTATCTTGGTTCATAATTAATTCGATTTTTTTTTAGCGACTACGGCATACTTAGTCTGAAGGTAACCAATACGCCTGGGACGCCAAAGGTCCTGGGTTGGAAACTGACCGGACCTGTTTTTCTTTTCATACTGGAAATAGTCCGTTTCACAAAAATTGTCTTCTTATTATTGTCTGCTTATGTTTTGCCGGCTTAGTTGCCATATTGTAGATTTTTTAAAAAGTTTTGTACATTATAGTTGCTTTTAGTGTTCTGATTAACCTCTGCTGTTTGTAATTTTATTAAAATTGGCTTCGTATTTCTTTTCGGCCTATTTTTTATTGGCGTAGTGACCTTATTTCGAGTAGTTTCAATGGAAACATTTTTTTAAATGCTCGCCTCTGGGTCGCGCAAAATGCTAAATTTCATGATACCAATTTTTTCCGACGTTTTTGATTTCTATTTTTTGGCTCGATAGATTGCGGCGTATATTGTATCGGCTTATTGGCCTCATATTGCGTCTCTCGACAAGCGAGAAAGTTTTGTGTGTGCGTGTCTGTGTTTTGAGGTTGAGGGGGACTTAACATCTTCTTGGTCTTAATGTTTTAATTTTTTTTTCGTCTTTTTTATTTTCCTTTTTCCGGCTTAATAGTTTCGGCCTATTCTTTATCGGCGTAGTGTCCGTATATTGTTTCTTTGACGAGCAAATGAAGTGTTTTGAGAGTGAGCTGGATACCTTTTCAGATGTCTGAAGTCTTGTTATTTTTTTCGACTTATAGGTTTCTGACAAGATCTTTTCGTCTTTGTTTTTACATTATCTTCCGATCCTTATTACACTTTCTATGTTTTTGTTTCAAAACTAGCCTTTTGAAGCCTATCAAACTAGCCTATCCGACCAGAACCTATTTTTTTGATTCCGGATTTAAAAATTTCGGCCTTTTATTTGTATGCTTATGTTTTGTCGGCTTAGCCGCCACATCTAAGAATCGTTTGTTTTAGCTGTAAACAATTCTCACTGCAGTTGTTTCAAGCATTTTAAAAATCCGGCCGAATTGAAATTTGCTTTTCACATTGGTTGTTATTTTACCAGCTCGATTTGATTTTTTTTAAATGTTTGTCTTTTTTATCGGCTTGATAATTTTCGGTTTAATTAATATCGACCTAGTGGCTTTTTATTGCGTCGTTACGATCGAAAAGTTTTTTATGCGTGTTTGTGTGCTCTGAGGGGAAAAGGGTCTTAACTTTTTTATAAGTTCAGATTTTTTGATTTTTTTTCCGCATGAAGGGTTTCTGCTCAAGTATTTTCGACTTTGTTACCGCTTGGTAATTATAAGTTGAAATCCAATCAACCACCCGGAGGACTTGGCGTGGAGGTAAAACAGCTGTTTTAGATTACAAAGGCCCTTTTTAGTGCTTTTTTCGGACTATCATCTGTCTGTTTGTTTTTGTAGTTTTTTTTGTATCTTCGTTTGATTTTAATCATAGTCATTCACATTTGTATCGCAAGTGGTGCGATGCTCAGCTTCGCCTCTGTGTGTTAAATTCAAATTCATGTGCTAAAATAAGGCAAATAACGCTCTTCATTTACGAAATTGCAAATAGTACAGAAAATAGGATTGGCTTTTGGCTTCAATCTGATTGTATAGTGTTTTGCTGTTTCAGGTGACAATTTGGAAACAGCAGCTTCAGTTGCACAAGAATGCCGAATAGTTCTGCCATCGCAAACACTCGTATTTGTGAGGTGCACTCCCGAATTCAACCAATCAGATGTCATCAATTCCAGCACAATCAAACGGAAGCAGCTTTCAATTCAAAATTCATCATCGCCTACTATTAGTAACACGAGCATCACTTACAAACTGACACTACATAACTCGGACAACAATCAAATCTTGTCGTCAACTGAATGTGCCAAACTGCTGGAAGACGAACACGTGACGTTCGCCATATCGGGCATGGACTACGCCAATTTGAGGGCCAATTACGCGGCAGATGTGATTGCAGGGTTCGCCAAAGTCTGCTCAGTGTATTCCAGAATGAAGCCAGACCAGAAAACACAGGTGAAACTCGAAATTTTAATTTTGTGGGTGGCTTGAACTCATAAACGCTTTCCAACGTACGTTGGGTATGCTTTCTCTTTGAAATTTTTCTTTTTAACTTGCGTTTTTTAGTTTCAATGAAAGTTATTGTAGTCATAATTCAAGTTTACTTTGTGGTGTAGGTTGTGAAGAGTGTGCAGGAGTTGGGGAAAGTGGTGGGCATGTGTGGGGATGGGAGCAACGACTGCAGTGCCCTGAAGGCAGCCCATGTGGGGGTGTCCCTCTCCCAGGCAGACGCCAGTGTCGCCTCCCCCTTCACCTCCAGAGTGGACAACATATCGTGTGTCCATCATGTCATACAGGTAAATAGACACGATAGATACTACGTACTACATACATAGATACATACATGAACTCAACACAACACAGCACAACATGCATATTAAACGCACTATATTAACTAACTAGGTTATTGTCCATTGCAGAAGTTAGTTTTATAGATCTCTTCTGTGTTTTTTTTGTGGTGTATGATTGACAAGTCAACTTAGCCTAAATAGGACAATGCAGTCAGCTATACCAATAATATGTTATTTAGTAATATTATTGTAACTCGAACAATGTCCCAATTTTCATGGACCTAAAATTAGTTGTGTTAACATTTTGGTTCATGTTGTCACGTCTAAGCAGTTATGGTTAATTGACATGTCATTGTTGTATTGCGTTATGTGGTGTGGTTGCAGGAGGGCAGGTGTGCACTGGTGACGTCATTTGCCCTGTTCAAGTTCATGATGCTGTACAGTATGGTGCAGTACAGCTCCATCCAGCTGCTCTATGTCATCCAGTCCAACTTGGGAGACGTGGAGCAGATGTACGAGGACATGCTCCTCATCACAGTACTCGCTCTAGTCATGGGACGCACCCAGCCACACCCACACCTCGGTAAGCCTAAACTAGACTCACCCATCTAAAGCCACACCTAAACCCAAGTCTATACGCCAGACAAAGGAGGGTAATTGACTTTGGAAGAAGACGGCGATAAATACCTACGTGCTTTTCAATTCGTTGACCTGGAACCAGGGGGTTGGTAGTAGGGTGAACAATTGCAATGTGATTTATGTGTGGTGAAATATTGACTAATTTTACCGTATGTGGACTTCAGCAGAATGTAGGTTGATGTGTTATGATGTAGCGTTAGTATGTGTTGTAGTGCCTCAGCGTCCTCAGAACAGACTGCTCTCTTTCTCTGTGGTGGCCTCAGTGGTCTGCTGTGCTGTGGTCCAGATGGCTGCTCAACTGGCAGCTTTCTTCTACGTCAGATCTATGTCATGGTAAACTACTATCCTTTACACCCTGTCAAATAACAAAACACCACACAAATTTGCTCCAAGGGTAAAGTGAACAAAATCTAGCTATTAAATTTCGACTTGAAGTAGGATGGCTGATAGAAAGCCGACTTTTGTTGTGCTTCTACTGATCATTCGCTACAGGTACTATGTGTGGCACGTGGACAATGGGAAGACAGTCCAGGAGAAGGGCTTCGAGAATACTGCAGTGTTTCTCATATCCAACTTCCAGTACGTATTCAGTGCCCTCATTTTCTCCAAAGGACACCCCTACAGACGCGCATTCTACACCAATGGGGCCTTCACTGCAGCATTGGCAGGTCTGATGGCTCTGAACGTGTTGCTCCTCCTCTACCCTCCCCAATTCATTCTGGACTTCTTCAAAATGGTGCCAGTCTACAGCCATCATCAGTTCATTCTCGTCTTAATCCAGCTCACTCTCATAAACTTGCTGCTTCTCTTCTTGGTGGAAAACATCATTTTGGATAACCGGTTGATTGAGCGCTGTTGCAAACTAGTCATAACTAAGCTGTCTCAGTGTTGCTGTGCTCGCAGACTGAAAAGAGTGAAATTGAATGAAGATAATGAGTTTGTAAAAATGGTATCACAGGTTTCGGAAATATAATTATTGTTTATACTGTGTACGCAATTACGAGTCTACCTTTTTTCTATCCAAACTAGCTAATACAAAAGCTCTTTTGGTGGCGCTTTTGCTGCATAGTAATGGAAGTTTTATAGCATCTTTTCTATCTCCTTTATTGGGGTCTAATGTTTGCTTATTTTAAGCGAATATGGTGCAGATGCGACGACGTAAGACTCGTAATCTACAAGCTGGGTGTTTGATCACGGCATAATTTATTTTCAAGGCTAATTTTGTTATTTCCAAAGTTTACCTTTTTAGAGCTTTTTTTGCCGTTTCTCGCTTGTTTGCTTTGCATCTGTGTTGCCCTTATGATCAACTGGTGTTTTGCAACCGTGCACTAGAATTTTTTCAAAGAAATTTGTGGCAACATACTCATAGCGTGTCAATTGATTCTGTTCTCTTGAGTGTCCGCCTTTAAACGAACTCAAAAATTAAACTGCCCATATGGTGGCGTGTACCTGGCATAGCCTTGGCAATCAATTAGCATGTCGTACGAGCGATAGTCTTAGCTAATGTTTGAGGATATTCGATCGATTATTATAGTTCAGATGCGAGGGCGTGATGATTAATCTGCAAGTCTGGAGATCGCATCCATTACTCATAATTTTTGTTCAGAAATCGCAATAAATTTTTTTTTGTGTATCTGCTTAACCAGTGTTGATTTTGTCAAGCAATCATGGCGATGACTCGATATTATGAATCTATTGTCGAAGTCGAATGTATTTTTTTTATTTTGCTTTTTCCTCAATTTAACGTTTTATGAGCTACGTATCACCGTTTTATCGATTGTTTGCAAAATTTATGTTCGCCCCTGCGCACATTCAACTATCTGTTGGCTATAGTTGTAGTTTTTTTTGAGATTTGCATATATCGATCGTGCGGTGAATTTAATCAGTAGTTTGGCCCAAGAATATTTAGTTGGAGCAAGCAGCGTGCAATATTACTTTTAGATGAAACAATAGCCAAAATTTGCCGTGTTACTATCGTGGTACTATTTCAATAAGTTTTGCTATTGAAATAATCGCCTGTGGTAATTTCGAAAAGAATCATCCTTCAGTTAAACGTATCTTCTACCGAACTCAGAAAGACAAATTGTTACGGAGAGATTTTATCTCAAAGGTTTGGAAAAGCATTTATGCTATTTCTGGCTAAACTGCAAGCAAAATTTGTCATCACAGAAACTAAAATTAGCTCAACATGAAAAGAGCACTCTTAAAAGTTCAAGTTTTAATCGTTTTGTAATTTTTAAGAGTAATGAACGTAGTGGGTACTCTTATATAGGTCTTGCTGTTGTTTTTTGTTCAGGATTTGATTTTTCGCGGTTTGACTTTTGATTTCTTCTTAAGTTCAATGCATTTCCATTGCTAAAAGGAAGGCAAACTCCACTATCGAACAGCAAAACTGTAAAGATAACGAAAAACGTGATCGACTTCTAGTTTTGAAAATGGATATTAACTATCAGTTTTCCCAGCGAAATAGAAGTTTTACCTTTTGATCCAGTTTTCTCAATTTGGGTTAATTTCAACAAAAAAGTGTCCATCATAACTTGTTCTACAAATTCTAAGAGCTTTAAGGCCATCTAATTTTTTATTTGAATTTCATGCGTTGAAGTTTTTGAAAAAATAAGTTGGTTTTTTTTCGGTTTCCTTGCGCTCATTACTCTTTTCCAACTGTCAGCTGGCTATGTTTGGGAATCAGCGCTGAATAAATTTTGGTATTTGTGGCTTCAAAATTTATGATTTCTTCTGAAATGGAGCTGAACTCGGCGCAAAATAAATAGTCCAGGAAGAGTAGTTTTTTTCAAGAATTATAGCTTGGATTTTCCCAAAACTTACTCAACGTCTAATTTTTCAATTTTGTGTTCATCTAGAAGGGCGTAGTTTTGCAACCCATAATCTTATCGGAATTACTGAATGAGTTGCCTAATCTGTTTTATTGCAGTGATAATCCTTTACATCTCCATCAACGTGTTAGAAGCGGTTGCATGCAAAAATTGCGCTAGGAGTTGACCAATCCTGGTGTCGTCAAGTAAATTTATTCTTTACGGGATAAATACAAATTGATCTAATGTCTGCGCGTGGAGAAAAACTCCAAGTGGCATCTTATCCACTCAGTGTTAATACAAGGCCAGGTAAAGACTTATTTGAAACAGTATTGCTCAGCGACTGAGGCAAACTATATGAGGTCATAGTCTCAACGACCTAGTTAGTGACCCTCAAGTTGAACCAAGCTGCCTGGCCTTCAAGGTCGATAACATGAAAATTAGTAAACTGAAATAGTTTAGTATGCATACTGAATTCATGGAGTAACGTAGTGTGTGAGATAGAGTGTATAAAATAGTGTGTTCATGACAATGATAGAGTGTGAGATTGATCTCTCAATTGGTCTTTAGCTTCAGGTGTGCCACAGCCTGGCCAATTTCGGCTGCAATGATGGTAACACGTGGAAGTTCCAGAGGTAAAAAACGACCTTGAGTCGCATGAAAGGGCTTCGCTGAACAAAATATCTCGGTATGGAATGTGAAAAAAGGACAGAGAAACGGACTATGCTTAGACAGGCTGGATAGCTATTCATAGATCCTCTGCAAAGCGCAGAAATCACAACATTTAAAAAAAAAGAGTAAACCCGGCTGAATGAAACTCAACAGCTGGATAAAAAAGTTTCCTCCTTGTTCATTTTTTGTCTCCGTTACGATTTTGATTCGTCCTACTGGTCTGTTTCAGGATTTCCCGATTCGCTTCCTGTCGACAGTTCTACTGTTACTTCTGTGTTTGTCCAGATTAATCTCGTTGAGGAACTCAACGCATACTTGATTGCTTCGGTATTTTGTATGCAAGCCTACTAAAAACAATGACCTTGTCTTTCCATCAGATTTCGAAAAATTCACTTCGAGTATTAGTCTGAAAAAGAATCGGCACCAACGAAATAAGACAATCCAAAAGGCACAGCCACCGACTAGAGCCTCAGTCAAGCTAAGAACAGGAACAATCTGTACCACATTTGATTCGCGATGTCAAGCAATACAATGAAAAGAAATGAAACTAGTATCAAAATCATCCCTAAGCCAGGAGGCATCAATTTTACAGTACAAGTAGTCGGCGCATTCGCATAAAGATCAGGCCGGGTATCTCGCCTGTTCTCTTGCCGTGTTGTCTGGTGCGTGTCCGGTAGCTCGTTTGTATTTCTTTGACAATCTTACTGGTTACTTATACCAGTTGAATCTGATTTTTAGGCGTCTTTTGAGCTAGTTCATATGCTCATTGTGCTTTCTTGACAGCTTTTGTATCCTCTTTGATGTATTGTCTTTTCTCTATTTCTTTAAACACCGGTTAATCGGATCTCTTCTGGCTTTGAACGTCTAAAAAACGGTATCGTTTGATTTAGTGGGTTTACATGCATCAAATTTGTTTACTCAAGTGGTTCTACAGTTTTCGTATGCGTTTGGTTTAGATAAGAACGCAAAAATGCTTTTATTGAAGAGTCTAGGTTGTTTTCCCAATGTCTGAATCCAAGATGTGTTTGGCGTATTAGTAGTAAACTGTTGAAATCGGTTGAAAGTTTGGATTATTCACCTTTTGTGTTGATGAAATTTTTTTTGTGAAGGTAAAAAAAAAGCTTTGCTAATGTGGTATTGCAATAAGTGCGAAATTTGTTACACTTCTCCGTTCAATTTTTGATTGAGTTTTTTCTGAGTGTGTATTGCGACATTCTACAATGTAAATTCCGTTTTCGAGTTTGATCAATTTTCTATTCGTCTGCGCTAGATATAAACTTGAATATTTCAATTTTTGTCCAGATGTTTCGAGATATACCGATTTTTTTCCAAAAGATTTTCTAGAGAATTGTTTTACTAGAAAAAAAAATTTTAAACAATTTTGCTCGATTAACTTCTAATTTATGAGAGAGAAGATAGTTTAGAATGCGTTGTATTAACCCCCTACTCCAATGTTATCTAGTAAAGAAAATCCACATTTATTAAAGAAACATTTCAATGTTCAAGCATATACAATTTGTGTGCCTTGTAGCAAACACCCATTGCTACAATAGGTGTGTGATAATTAACAAGATGCGTTCGAAGTCTGGTTTGAAAAGGACTCAAATTAAACTCATGCGACCGAAGATTGATCGATCACTTGAACAGAATCTAAACTGGTCCTAAAAAACGAAACTGATTCTTTCTTGTTTCAAGTTGATTAAAAAAGTTTTGTTTTAACAAGTTGACTTGTTTGTCGGAAAAAATGAAAATAGGTAAGAAGCGTGTTATTCTATGCCTAGTGGCATATTAACGGTAACCCATGGTAAAACCAAATTGCAATGATTTAACTAGTAGATTAAAAATTAGGATGAAATTTTTATTGCAAAATATTTTGGCTCAGTTTGGCTGAATTGAAATTTTACAATTTCCAATTAAAAAAACTATAGCAGGTGAAATAATTTTCTGATTTAGAGCCTACATTATTTATGTTTTAAATGTAATAGTATTCTAAAAGAAAAGCTAGTTTTGAAGCCAAATAATGTCAAAAAAATTTGCATAACCTTCCTGAAATTGCTAGAGACTTGATTCAAAAATCGCCCTGATCCAGCATACTCGTCAAAACGTTTTCAAATGAATTTGATTAAAGGAGATTTTTAAACTTTTCTTTTTGCTTGGATACTTATCTCTAATTTTGTAAATATATGTCAAAGAATTTTTGATCAAAAAGGCAAATTTTATTACAAGAACCAAACTATTTCGACGTGCAATTTCCTAAACTCCTATGTCGAGCACGAAAAAAACTCTGAAAAAAAGAACAAAAAACAGAAAAAAGAGGCTCAACAAAATTCGGGCCATTTACGATACCACATCAGCAGATCATGTTAACCTTTTTGTCAAAAACTGAGATGAAAGCCATTTATTTGATAGAAAAAAAATGAAAGGGAAAGTTAAAAAAGCTACATCTACAAAAGTTTAATACTTAACTTTTTGGTTTTTACCAATATATTCAAAGTTAA